GCTGCCACCAAATTTAAAGGGCTGTCGTGTATCCGGTCAAGGACTAGCTGTCTGAAGCTGCCCTACACGATGCATGACATGTTCCGTGGACATAGCAGATAACATGTTTGCGTCCCACTGTGCAAACAGGGACTGGAGTCCCTGATGAATGGGTGGTGCAGAGGCAGTCATCTTCCCTTAGGACCAGTAGAGGAACCCAAGTCACCAGACCCTGCCAACCTGGTCAAAGGTTGAAGCATATAAAGGGGCTTATAAGGCCGTTATGGAAAGGTTTTAATGTCTAGGACCATGGGGTATAATATCAGAGTAAGGGGTTTCCCATTTAAGACAGACATGAAGAGGAACTTCTTCTCTAAGGATAATGAATCTGCAGAACCCTTCACCACAGAGGGTTGCAGAGGCTGACTCAATAAGTACATTCACGGCTGAGATAGACTGATTTTTTTTAAAATTAGTAAAGGAATCAAGGGATACAGAGAAAAGGCAAGAAATGGAGTTGAGGATGTTTATCAGATCTGCCATGATCTCACTGAATGGCAGAGCAGACTCGACGGACCAAATGGGTAACTTCTGCTCCTATGCCTTACGGTCATAGGAGCAATGGAAAAGCAGCACTGTCATGAACAGCACATTGTAACATTCAACTATGGATGCTTGGAAATGAACAGCAAATGGTCTAGTTTAGTCAGACGAGAAAACTTGATTGTTGAGTTATTTGATCCAAGAGAAAAAATTACAGCCTTTTCGCCAGCCTTCACTTTTGTACATGTACCATTTCTCAATAAAATGATAGCTGTTCTAATGATAGTTAAATGCAGAATAGCAATTAGATTGACTACAAACAATGAGGCTATTATGATGAAACTGCTGCCAAATACTGCCACACGATTTCAGGAGGAGATAGAATTGGTATGCAATTCGAAGGACTTTTATTGGGTAATTAAGTGGCATACAAGGTTACAGAATAGACATAGTCCAGTCAGTGTATCATCTTCTGCACCAGCTGACAGCTGTGTGTGTGTAATTCTGTAGATTACTGAGATGAGATGGCATGACAGGGATTCATGCCAGTCAATTTTTAAAACACTAAGGTATTCTGACTGCAATACACAATAGACAACAGTAAAACCTGTCACTTCTTTCCCCAGTAAACGGAGCAATTTTTTGTCTCAATCATTGTATCTTTCTCTATCTATTGCTTCCTTTCTCCCTTTTTACAAAGTCTCTTGTGTCTGTCACAACAACGACGAATGGGATTTACACAGCTCAGTTAATGTATCACTTCCTCCCAATATGCTTCACAAGGACCATTATTTGACACAAGCTGCAAAGGAAAATGTTTTCTCGATGAAGTTGGATTTTCAGGAGTATCTCAAAAGTGAGAGGAGAGGTAGGCCGGTGGAGAGGTTTAGGGAGGGAATTCCAGAGTTTAAGTCCCTGGCAGCTGAAGGTATGGATTCCAAAGATGGAACAATTAAAATCAAGGAATAGTGAAGAGAACCAAACTGGGGAGGTATGTTACAGAGATTGGGAAAGATAAGGCTCTGAAAAGAAGGATAAGAATTTTTAAATTCTGATATAACTTGAGAGAGACATGAAGTAGCTCAACAAACAGAGGTGATGGGTGAAAGTGACATGTTGTAAGTTAGAATACAAGTTGCAGAATTTTGGATGAGTTTAATGTTATGGATTGGAATAGTTACTCCGAAGGTAGCAAAGCAATTGCTGAGGATTATAGCAGTTTATAAACTAAGGCAGGGTAAATTACGATGGTCAAAACTGACAATCTTAGTGATGATGTGACTGCAGTTGTTAACTCATCTCAAATCTGCAAACAGTCTGATTTGGCCTCAAGCATTACAAGAGATACAATGACTGGCTAGGATATGGATTTTTTTAGCCTGAGACCAAAGACGAGGATTTAGTCTTCTCAATATTTAACTTGAGGAAATTGCTGCTTATCCAGTACGAGAGGTCAGACTAAAAGTGTACAAATATTAAAGAGTGGAGATATTGATCAAGGTACTGGTAAGGACTAACTGATGTGTTATCAGCATACATACAAACTTAGCATTGTGTTTCTGAATGTCTTTGCTGAATGGAAATATGCATATACGAAATAGGAGCCAGTCATTGATAGATCCTTAGGGGACGTAGCTACGGGTGAGGAATGAGAACAGAAGCCATTGCAGATGAATCTTTTGGCTATGACTGGATAGAAAAGAATGGAACAGACATCCAGCTGAACAATGGAAAAGGAGAATGTTCCAGTCAGCTAGATAATGAGAATGTCAGGTGTCTTTTCCCTCGGGTTGGGGGATTTCAAGACTCGAGGGCATATTTTTAAGGTGAAAGGAGAAAAATTTAAAAGATACAAGAGGAGCAATCATTTTACACAGAGAGTGCTTTGTGCGTGGAATGAACGAAATGGTGAATGCGGGTACAGTTACAACATTTAAAAGACATTTAGATAAGTATATGGATAAGAAATGTTTGGAGGGATATGGTCCAAGTGCAGGAAGGTGGGACTAGTTTGGTTTGGAATTATGGTTGGCATGGACTGAAGGGTCCGTTTCCATGCTGTATGACTCTATGACTCTATAACTCTATAACTAAGGCTGCATACCATGGTCACCGTTATTTATGACAATGTTTCTTGATAATAAATTAAATAATAATACATAAGTTAAATATGAAAAATCTGTGATTTAAAGTCTGTTGCAAAAACATTGTTATTTTATGTACTCATGTAGGTTTCAGCCAATGGTTTCATATTCCTCAGTGACAAAAAGTCTCAGTGAAGATCTTCTCAACGTCATTCCCACACAAAATCAGCACCTCCCAGCCTTTCGGTTCCAATACATGCACAGTGATTGGTGCCTCTCCCTCATGTGATGATACCATGGCTTTAAAAGGTGTATTTTGTCATGTTTTTTTTAAAATGAAAAGAGGTTTAGTCAGAGGTAATGAGCAGTCTGTTCCAAGTCAATAAAGTAAACAGCTTGAGGCCTTGGAATTTTTTTTTAACATTGTAACAATAGAAGCAGCCTTAAAGGATGGGGTCAAGCTCCCACAGAATTAGGATTTTAGTTTAACTTTCAGTAGCTGTTGGGTTTGGAAGCTGCTAAACATCTCTTCCGGCTGCCTCTGCCAATGGTGTGTTCATTGGGATGTTCATTGGAACAGCTAATCAGTGGTAGTTGATATATTTATTATCTTGTTAAATATTTCAATAGAATTTGGCCAATTGAATTGTATCCAGAACACAATGCCTAGGCTACCTTCTTAATATATTTTGAGGGCATTTGATCTTGTCCATAATACTCACTACACACACACACAGAAACCAGTCACTCTGTCACTACTACCTCAAACAGTGACTAGGGTTTAAATCCCAGATTCCTAAACAATAATCACCAAACATATGCAAGCTATTATATATGGTGAATGCCTCATGTCCCAGAATAGTCTGGTGTGCAATTTATTCACATATAAATATATAGACTCTGCACCCTACATTTAATCTCAGTTCTCATCACTTCGTTCTGAACAGATTTTTGTTTCTGACACATTGGAGTTACAGAGTCAGATTGGCTAACTTGCGATAATCACAAACAAGTTTATCAGTACAGGTTACATATTAGCTGAAACAGTAATGATTTTAGTTAATTTCTTGGCTTCACAGATAGCAACAAAGAGAGCTAAATGGTCACAGATGCTGCTTGAGAGGCAGAAACAGAACATTGAATATCATAATTACAATGGTTAAGGCGATTCCGTTTATTTTGCCTGTGTAAGTATTACATTGGACTGAACTGCTCTGATCCAATTCCACCACAACCACACATTCACTCTCTCCCCACTGCCCCCACACCCCCCAGAGCAGACAACTTTGTCTGAAGGAAATTGAAGGGAGATTGAGATAGGATTTCAGATGAAAGACAGCAGTTATTCTGGTACCCTGAACATTTTACTCTTGATTAGTTTAAAACCAGCAACTGGAATTATTTAACTTTCTTTAACAAGTTATTTAAAATATGTATAGCAGGGCTTTCAAACACAAGAATGAAACAAACAGGAATAGGGCCTGTGACAACAGGAATCGTGCAATGCTGATATACTTAAAAAGAACAGAGGAACCTTCAACTACAGCAATTGAAGATGGGGTACCACAAACCCCTTGACTTCACTGTCTTGACACCCTAGTCTCATTACTTTCAACATTTATCAGATATTTATCTACATTCTTCTTCAATATCAATGGCTGCTTGAAGTAATGTTGTATATAATGTAATCAGCCTTTGCTGTAAAACAGGCAGACTGAAGCAGAAACACACAAGTTTAAAGCAGCCACTCACTTTTCCGGCTAGCTGCGTCACCTCCCAAATTTCCTGTACTCATTGACTGCACCATTTGCTTCTGTCTCCTTGTACAAATTGGCAAACAAGCATCCCAAGCCTACTCGGCAGTCACAGCTGGACAGTTTAAAGCGTGCTTTGGGCTCACTGTTTGCCCCCTTGTCTGAAGACAAGCATTCAATAAGTCCACGTCTGTTCTGCCAGAATCTCTTGCCTGCAGTCACCATTGCCGCCTTGGAAGAGGAGGGAGATTGTGATCTCAAAAACCATCTAGGTGACACCATTAGGGATCACAGTTTGGGAGCCTTGTTATAGATACAAAAGTTTAGAAGCTGGAATGTGTCCATGAACACATACAGACCTAGTTCTTAGATATGACAAATTATAGCAGCTTAACTACTTGGTCAGAACAAAATTTGGACCTCTAAACAAACCATCAATATTCTTGAAGTTTTCTCCATTTCCCTTATTAGGCTCCTGACAACATTTACAAACAATGGTGTATTAATTCATTCAGAGAATTAAAACTGCTAAAACAGAAGCAAAAACAGAAAGAGGGTCTAAACTGTCAATTTCATGAAAACTTTCCTCAGACGAAAAAATGTGAAAAATGTGCCCCATAATGAAACTCAAATGACTCACCGTTTTGCCTTGCAAGCTCTCAGGTGTAATGGTTTGCACAGGTACACTAGCAGGCATTGACCTTCTGTCTGGCGGATAGATAAACTAAGGAGAGAAAAAAATGGAAACAATTCTACATCACTGATGTTTCTTCCATTTTCATTTATAGTCTTTGAGAGTTCACTGTATTCCAGCAGTAGGCCGGTTCCCAAAACGTCACCAAGGTTATTCTACAAATGATTTCTAAGCTGTGTATTAGAGTGGGACAAAAAATTCTCAATTCAATACGTTGGATGAAGATTCCTCAAAGCCTAGCAAGGACTGGGCATGTGATATTTGGAGAATCACTTTTTGTTTTAAAAATCAAGGACTGATAAAGATCATCTACTATAGCACTGTATTTTAATGAATCATTCTGTGATTAGTGATTATAAAGTACAACTCACATTTTGAAATGGGTGTCAACATTTCCCCAATAAAAGTCAGCAGCCAGATTAATTTTGATTTACATAATAGATTTTTCACTGGGCACAAAAAAAAACAGAATTATGTAACACAACTATCCTGGTACAAAAATATACCATTGTACTTTAAAAACCCACAAACTTTAAGCCTTATAATTAGTTGAATCTAGCTTTTAAGAATAGGGGACTCAGGTTGAATTGCAAAACCAAGAAAGGTGTTTTTACCCTGTTGACAGGTGTCCTGTGCCGCCGAGATTTCATGGAATCAATGGTCATATCTCCTCTTAAAACAGGTGACAATGCTTCTGATCTTGATTCAACGTTGTAAGACCTCAGGGGAGAGTATACCTGGTAGGGGGCCAGTGAACCGTGAGAAGGTGATGGAGGAATTGAGCGTGACTGTTCAACGATATTCATCATGGTGACGGGAGTACTTAAAGTACCATGTCTGCTTAGTGTCCCATGCTTATGGTAGACCTGACGCTGTTGCCATTCATATAGTTGCCACATGGTATCATCCCGCATCGATTTCCGTTTTTCTTCTGAGGAAGGTGGTCGAAGGACTCTATTGTATGCAGAAGGTGACGCCGAACAGATGCTATCGGGTCTTGTACGACTGTGATGTGGCATTGTTCTGTAACATGGCATGACCTGAGTCCGATAGCTTGGCAGGTTCCTTGGTAATGTTTGATAACATGTGATGCTGTAATTTAACAGAACATTACTTAGAAAATTTTACACTCATTAATTTAGAAACAGAAATCTAATCAATTTCCTCAGGAAGTAAGTTTTTTTTTCTCAATTCCTTCATGTGGCATATTTGACACAGCATCACTTGTGAAATAGAAAATGAACAGAGTAAAAGAATTAATTAGGAAGTTGTGGATTATCAGAAGTAATACTTTGGGAAAGAAAATGGAAAGAAAAAAAGAAATCTGAGCCCAAAAATAAATCAACAACAGTTCTGATGAAATAGCATCGGCCCAAAAAATTACCTCTTTTCCTCTCAACATAGATTTGTCTGACCTGCTGAGCTCTTTCAGCTTTCACTATTTGTATTCTATTGTCTGCTGGGGTAGCACAACACACCAATCTCAAGAACAGATCAGTACCAAACAGATCAGTACTTAAAGCCATAAATAACAATTTTACTCCGACTTTGCTTCTAGCTGGAACAAAATGCATCTTCAGTGCATCTATAAGTGATTCATAAACATTTCAATTTTTACTGAAGAAAAAGTTGACACATGGAGAAGCATTACAATTCAACTTAGATGTGTACAAAATGTCACAATCAGAAAAGCTGCTATAATGGAATGCACAGAAAGTATTTCTCATTGAATTAAGAAGGAATGAGGCTCCGAAAGCTTATATTTTCAAATAAAGGAGACAGTAAAAACTGCCGATGCTGGAGTCAGAGATAACACAGTGTCAGAAATGAAGAAGAAAAATTTCTGAAGAAGGGTCCTGGCCCGAAACGTCAACTTTCCTGCTCCTCTGATGCTGCCTGGCCTGCTGCGTTCCTCCAGCTCCACACTGTGTTATCTCTGTTTTCAAATAAACCTGTTGGACTATAACTCGGTGTCATGTGATTTCTGTCATTGAATTAAGACCAACACATTTCAAAATGAAAACTATGTTGGGAGAATGTGCTGTGGGAAACATGTTGTAACAAAATGTTGATGGTAGTCAAAAATGGCAATTAAAAATTCAAGGTATGACTTGTGCAATCATTTGTTTGGCTTAGATAAACATTAGTTTTGTATCCCAAGTGATGTTTAAAAACAAAACTCTGACTTTATACCTTTACTTTTATGAAACGTAGTTGATTGCAGAGGGAAAGTTCTTTCTTCGCCAATCTGTGGCATGAGACACAAAAATGATCTATCCTCTGTGCAACCATTAAGTGGGAAATCCCCTTTCTTGCTGGATCCGTGACTTACCACGCATATTTGTACTGTTGTTCACTCCATGGTGAAATTGGCAAAGATTTGGAATGAATTACATTAAAAGTAATTTTCTAGACTGCTGCATGTTTTCAGGAGACAGCAATGTGTAAAACATTGTCTTCCAGCACCCAAATCATATTTTAGCACACACTGGTGTCCTTTGGAGGTCACATGTCATTCTCTCATGAATGAAACTGAAATCTACAAGAGACTTTAGATAGTAGTCAACTTGAGACTTTCTCCATGTCTCCTTCTACTGCTTTGTCTTCACCTATTCTCAGTGGATCATGGCACACACCCTGATATATTACCTATTGGTGACATCTAATGACAGAGCACGAATCATCCAAGCAACAGACACATTATAACTTTTGCATACATAGTAGATCACATAACAGAACAAATATAACAGGCAAACAAAGACTGTCCAGAAGATGAAGTGGCTTTCACAGGCTATTTTTTCATTACTTGGACTGTGCTGCAACAGACAGCTCAAATATATGGTGGTGCTACTGTGTACAATTAACAATTACATGTATTTTCTGTTCTATAGTCATCTTGCTTGTTTGGAAGCACCTGGAAATTGGCCAGAGGGCATCATTTGCCACAATGCTGAAAGAAGAATTAAGGATGTACGAACTAATAAATATCAACTGTATGAATTAATAGTGAACATTATGTACATTATGAAACAATGCCTATACTTAGAATTTTGAGCAGATGCAGTGTATTTCATTCAGTGAATGCATCAAATTTTATCCCTTATTCAACTTATTTGAATGTGGTCATGGGATGTGGGTGTTACTGATTACAGCAGCACTTATAGCCCTCTCCTAATTGCCATTACAGCTGCAGTGGGGTGGGGTTGTAGCCACATCTATGCGCTGTTAAGAAGGGAGCTCTAGGACATTGATCCAATAACAGTGCAGGAGCAACAATATAATTCAAAGTCAGGATTGCTCATGGCTTAGAAAGAAACTTATAATTGATGTTGTTTCCATGCATCTGAAGCCCTGGTCTTTCTCGGTGTTAAGGTCATGAGTTTGGAAGGTGCTGCGATAGTCACATTGATGCCACTGGACATTGGTGGAGCAGGGAATGAATGTTCAAGTTGTTGGGTGGTCCCAATCAAGCTGTATGCTTTGACGTGGACACCACTGAGCTTTGTGAGCATTGGTGAAGCAGTTAAATGGAAAGTATTCCATCATGATCCTGACCTGTGCCTTGTAGATATGGTCAGGCTTTTGCTGTCAGGAGATAAATCTATTTTCCTCAGAATTTATATCCTTTGACCTGTATAATAGCCATTGTATTTAACTGGTCCAGTTCAGTTATTGATTGATGATAATGCCCAAATTGTTGATTTTAAGTGATTGTAATGTTATTGAATGTCAAGGGGAGACGGTTACATTCTCTTTTCTTGCAGACAGTTATTGCCTGGTACTTACATGGCATGAATGTTACTTGCCACTTATCAGCCCATGTCTGGGTGTTGACATGTTTTGTTGCATATGGGCACACATTGCCTCTACATCTGAAGATTTATCAAAAGTACTGACCATTGTGCAATAATCAGCAAATATCTTAACTTCTAGCCTTACGATGGAAGGAAGCTCATTGATAAAGCAACTAAAGATGGTTGGACCTAGGATATTACCCTGAGGAATTCTTGCCATGATGCCATGATCACTGGCCAACAAGTACAGCAATCTTCCTTTGTGCTAGGGACAACTCCAAGTAGTGAAGGACTTTCTACTGATTCTTTGACTTCAGTTTCACTTGGACTTCTTGAGGCCATTCATCATCAAAAGCTGCCTTGGTGTCAAGGGCATCGATTCTCATCTTACCTTGGGAGTTCAGCTCTTTTGTCCATCTTTGGAACAAGGTTCTAATAAGGGCAGGAGCTGAATGGCCCTGACAGAACCCAAACTGAGCAGGTTATTGCTGAACAAGTTGATTGCACTGTTGACAACCCATTCCATTGCGAGACTGATGACAGACTTAGACCAATGGGGCAGCAATTGGTTGGGTTGCATTAGTCCTGTTTTTGTGGATAAGATATATCCAGGCAATTTTCCATATTGCTAAATAGATTTAGTGATGTTGCTGTATTGGAATAGTTTGGCCAGGGGTACAGTCAGCTCAGGAGCACAGTTTTTCAGTACTATTACAAGAATGTTGTCAGGTGCCATTGCCTTTATAGTATTCAGTTCCTTTAGCCATTTCTATCACATGGAGTGAATCACTGTGTGATGCTAGGAACCTCAGGAAGAAATGAAACAGATCACAAATTCAGTACTTCTGGCTTTAGACACTCAAAGCTCTGCAGTCCTAATACATCCATTCATAAATGATGCAGGAGAGTTAAACAACTAACTAATCAGGGAAGATGATCCATGAGTAACCCACCTTCAATGATAGAGAGTGACACACAAGACAATCCGCTAGCCTCAAGGCCACCAATACTGATAATTGTATGTTAGAATGGCTACAATACAGAACTTGACCCAAGAAAACTATGTCAATTCTCCTAAAGAGCAAATAAACTTGTCCCACATTTGTGTCATTGCCCACAGTCCGACAAATTCCTTGATCTTCAGGTGTTTATCTAATATCCTCTTCAAAACCACTACTTCACTCCCAGGTAGTGTAATCAACGTCCTGATCTCTTGCTGTATAAGCAAGATTTTCTGTGTGCTGACACTCGTTCTTTTTCCACTCATCAGTGTTCTGTAATTTTCAACCCTTCTGCCAATGGGAACAGTTTTAATGCAAAACTGGTCTGAAGAATTTCATAGGAATACTTGCCAGAAATTTTTATTTAATGGCATGTCTTCATGTGTAATGTTTCTCATTTGCAACTGACTCCTACAGACCAGGTAAAATCTATATTAACCTGGTTGAATAATCTCACTGCAGTAACTTGCTGTCTAGACATTACTATTAGAAAGTGTATCTGTCAAAGATGCCTCCAGCATCTCATGGTGTGCCCCATTAATTTAAAATTTTCTGCCCATAAAGTTGCTAGAAAAGCGTAAATTGATAATGATGCAGTGGTGGTGACCAACGAGACAGTGCATTGTTTGACTAATATAATTAAGAATTGAGAAAAATGCATGGAAATGTCTGATGAGGAGAGTGAGCATGTGTGTTAATGTTAAATCAGGCACAGAAAACGAACAAAAAGGGCAGTAAGATGACTTCCTATGTTGATTGCAACAAAAGTAAAATATCAACTTCACCCTTTTTAACCATTCGGGAGCTTTTTGAAATGGCTGACTGCATTCTCCTCCTCCTCCTGTACCTCTCCACCGTTGTCCAATTGGGTGCGGGTTGTGGTCATCTGGGTTCAATTCTTTGCTAACTGTATCTACAGCACCATCTAACATTGTTTCAGTTTCCACTTCCACACAATCACTTGTAATGTTCCTCAAGGATTTACTTTTGATTTCCATCCTACCTCTCACTGACTTGCTGCCAATTGGTGATGCTGATGAAAACTCAGGATTCATTTTCATAGGTGCATTAACAACAAACTCAATTTCACTGCTAAATGAAAACCGAAAGAACTGTGGATCCTGTAAATCAGAAACAAAAACAGAAGTTTCTGAAAAAGCTGAGCAGGTCCGGCAGCATCTGTGAAAAGAAATCAGAGTTAATGTTTCAGGTCCAGTGACCCTTCCTCAGAATAAATATTCTAAGGAAGGGTCACTGGACCCAAAATGTTAACAGTGATTTCTTTTCACAGATGCTGCCAGACCTGCTTAGCTTTTCCAGAAACTTCTGTTTTTATTTCGATTTCACTGCTGCCTTTTTCAACTTCTCCATAATTGCTAAACCAAACATTTGTAAGTCCTTCTTCAAACTTGATCACTCTCTTCTCCCTGGTGAATATCATTACACCTGAACCCAAGATGAGCTTCCAACCATATACCTACGCCATAACACAGACTATCTATTTCCACATCCAGATTGCTCATCTACCCTTGCCTCAGATCACTTACTGCTAAAATGCTCATTCTGATGTTCTACAAATAAATGGAATTAACTATTCTGATACATTTCCATATAGCTTCACATTATACCTTCTGTAAATTTCAGGTCATCCAAAAATCTTGTTGCCCATGTTTTTAGGCAAACCAAGTTCTGCTCACCTACTATCCCTACGCTCACTGATCTACATTATTCAAATAATGCCCTGATTTTGAAATGTTCATCTTGTTTTCAAATCCCTCCATGACATTGACCCTCCCCAAGCTGTAATCTCCTTCAGTCTCACGCTACTTACTTCAAGTTACATACTCTTATTAAATTTAGGCCTTTTGAGCATTCCGGATTTAAAATGCTTTGCCAGAGGTAACTGTCCAAGCTTTAGAATTTCCTCATAAACCACTATAGATACTCAATATCTACACGTCTGCAAAAGCTTTTAGCCACCTGGCCAAATACTGTCCTATGTCTAAAGGGTTAATTTTTCTTTATAATGCGATGGTGAAGGTCTTTGGAACATTTCATTCAATTAAAGGATCTACATACGTATCTTATTCTCAATTAGATTGAAAAAGAAAATAAATACAAAAGTAAAACAAAAGACTTGATATTCTTAAGAGTTCAGGTTTGGGCCAAGGAATTTGATAGTCAGTCATTTAAAAACACATCAATGAACAAGTACTTAAGTTGTTGATTTTTGGACTTGGATTTCTGCTGTGATTTTACAGACATTAATCGCATTGTACATTGATGTACACATTCATGAAAATCATAGGACAGCTGATGACAAGATATCATTTTCATGAAGTTAACAACAAAGTAGCTTAAGGGTCTTATGGCCTAGTTTTGGTGTCACTATCTCTGGGCAAGAAGATCCAGGTTCAAGTGCCACATGCTCCAAAGGTGTGTCACAACATGTCCAATCAGGGTGATATATTTAAAAAAGCTACATGGCTCAATGATTTACACATTTGCAGCAAACTCTGCCCCATCAATTTAACACCTCGATTACTATCATGTGAAACCTCATATCAAATTCTGTCATCAGATAAAAAGTAAACTGAACTGAATAATGCAACTACCGACCTTAATTGTCCACAGAAGACATACAATTACTGATGTTAAGTTTTGTCTCCTTGTTCTGAGTTTAGTGTGTGTTTTTGGCACCGGGGTCCTTTATTATTTCTATCCTTCAGTGACCACTTCTGTTGTAAAAATTATTTCCTCTCATCCTAAACCAAACGAATTATATCTTAAGTATTACAATTTTCTAAAAACATACAAAGGCTCTCCTCATCAATTTCAATGCCTAGATACAGAAATTATTTAAGACAGGTCAGTTGCTGACAAATCTGTAATGGAAAAACTGGGAACAAAGTTCAAATATTGTTCCAATAGAACTATGAGAGGAATGTGCAACCTGTAGACATTCTTCACATTTTCAAAATACTGTAGTTTTCATAATACAGCTTTCCCTGAAAATGAATCTGAAAGTTAGGATGCATTTTATACATGGTACCACATCAAAATGGGTATTCTTGGAGATCATTGGGAATTCCTTTTCCAAATAATTACGAATTATATTATATGTATTAGAAATATTACATTTCAATGGAATTTCTTTTAGATTTTATAATCTACCTTAAATCTTCTAATTCTATAAATACCCTCATGCAATATGAAGCAAAACATGTTCCACTTGTGGCACATCTGATGTTATTTCCAAGTTACTTTCAGCTAATGTCCATCACTTACAAATGGCCTGTCAATGCCTCTGATAAAATTACAAGACCTTTGCTCCTGGAAAGAAATAAATTTGCTCCAATTCCAAGCTTTGTCAGACAAAAGATGACAAACACCTCACAAATGCAAGCTTGATTGATCAGTAAATGCTGTCAACTCATTCTGTCCACTTCACTATCTCACATTTTACAAGTCCATAGGAACCAGTTGCTCAGTGAAATAGGATGTAGTGGAACTTTCAGCTTAGTTGGACTTACTCACTGTTTCTGTCAATAAAGGGTCACTTTGACTGCAGTACTGGGTATGTCTAAATGCATGATACATGATGAGGGGGCAATTTTGACTAATGACACTTGAAAATCAGAGTGAATATACTATTCAGAAAATTATGACAATTGCACTGTGAGGTCAAATGACATACACAAGTATTTTCAAACAGCACTCTAGAAGTGTCACATCTCTCTGAACAGAGGCAAAATAACCAGACAAAGCTTTAAGAATGCTACTTCCTCACTACACTTCGTAATAACTGAAAGGACATGAAGGTCAACATGTCTCCAAGCTACACAATTTTTCTAACAATACTCAAAATTTACTCAAGTATGCCATGTAATCTAAGCAGAATTCAAGTTGTAGAAAAACCAAATGAAAACGGTGCAAAAAATTCGAATACACAAGACCCAGAATCACTGCTATGATTTTTGGTACAAATAACAAAACAAGTTCATTAGGAAATTAATTCCTGCGCAGCTCAAACAAGTTATAAATCAACAGTCAACAGCAAGTTACCTTCCAGCCTCCTGTGGGAAGCATCATAGTATGATGTACAATCAAACGTTTCTCTATCACATCACGTTTTAAGGACACTTGGTGATGATAAATCCAAAAAAAAGCAGATTGGATATTGTCACATTCCACTTGCAATCACTGTTGCTCAGTTATGATAGTTAATATCATGAACTGTGAATGAAGTTGATATAGGTATGTCTCCTATCTATGTTAAACAAACAAGCTTTTAGTCAATGTAAATCCTATTTTTGCAACCACAGAATGGAAATGATCATGAAACGTCTAATTTAATTGATGAATATTATTGTACATTTATAAGAGGAAAACCTGACCGGGTTGCAGAATCATGTATCTACTTACCATGTACTCTTAATAATAAGCTTTGAATTACACTTATAAGTATTACAAAGAATTATTTAAAAGAAGCCCCCATACCTTCTAGGTTCTTCCTCTTGGCCCTTTCCTTTTTGAGTTCTCACCCACTGCTCCAACTGCACCATTGAATTAGTCCTTTGAATGCCCCTTCCACTTTCATTTAAGCTAACCAGTCTTTCTCTTCCAGTGTCTACATTTTCTACAGGAGTACTGACTGGACAAATTGAACTTTGTTCATTGGAAGCACTTGTACGGAGAGATTTGTACTCTTGAGATTGAACGCTGTTGGTACCTGGCATGACATTGCCACTCTCTGATTTTGCAGGTTGCGATTTTATACTATTGATTTTAGACAAAGGCTTGTGCTGGTCTAGTCCTTCAGTCTCAAAACGATATTTATCAGCATGAGTGATGTTCGGATTGTCTTTTTGTTGAACACCCAGATTGGGGTCCATATTTTTCTGGTTGTTCTGAAGTTCAGGCTTGACTAGCATTTTGTGGTTTGGAACATGGATGACATCTTTAGGAGGTACAATTTCAGATGCTAGCTTTTCAGTCCTGTGGGTGAGAGAGGGAGAGTTAAAAGTAGGCTTGTCATCCATATCATGCAACATTGTTCCACAACCTTTGATCTGAAACAAGTCAGACCTTTTTTTTGACTTCATCTTGAAGCACACACCTTCTGGCCTCAGCAGCACATCTCTTTCCTCATTTAAACATTATAGTGAAACTGATTAATGCACTAGTGAAATTACAGACAAACGAGCATTTTTCACAAGTAACTGGTCTTGAACTAGAAATGTGTTGTGCATTTTTAAGAATTTCTGCTAACATTTGTTATGTTGCTTGTCTAACTGAACTTACACCACCTTGAAACTGTAACTAGAACAAATCTGAGCTGCAATACAGGGCATTAAATCAATACACAGAGGGGAATAGTAAGAAAATACAATAGTAAGTGGTTATGAGGTAAATTTCATGATAAAGAAAAAAGGAATCATTTATGTTGTTTCAGCCAAAACAAATCCTTCTCTGTACTCATCTCCCGAAAAAGTATGCATGCAGAAAGGCAACAACTCTTTATCAACACAAATTGAAATTACTGGAAAAAAACCCCGTAGGACTGGCAGCATCTGTGGAGAGAAATCAAAGTTAACATTTCGGATCCAGTGACCCTTCTTCAGAACAAATGGAAGCTATGAAACGGTTGGTATTTATGCAGAGTATGGGGTGGGGGGAGGGGGGAAGAAGTAAATAATAGATAGAGATGGAAATGGAGAGGAAAACAGTTGGCAAGACAAAGGAGTGGATAAAGGTCTGGCTGGGAGAATTAATAGCTTCTAATGGAACTATTAGAGGTTGACAATGGATTGTGTGTGGTAGCAGCCCATGTGATGACAAGGTCTGGTGTGTGGGGGTTAGGGTAAGGACATGGGAGAAGATGTTCAGGCCCTAAAATTGTTGAACTTGATATTGAGCCCAGAAGTTTCCAGACTTCCCAAGCAGAAAATGAGGTGTTGTTTTTCCAGCTTGCATTGTGCTTCGCTGGAACACTGCAGCAAACCTGAGACAGAGAGGTTGGCTAAGGACATGGTGATGTTGAAATGGCAGGCAACTGGAAGCTCAGGTTCATTTTTGCAGACAGAAAGTAGATATTCTGCAAAGAGCTCACCCAGTCTGCATTTCGCTTCCCCAACATAGAGGAGACCACATTGTAAGCAGTGAATGCAGTAAACCCGTTTGCGTGAAGTGCAGGTGAATTGCTTGTTCCTGGAAGGTGTGTCAGGAACCTTGAATACTGAGAAGGGAGGAAGTAAATGGGCAGGTGTTACATCTTCTGGGATTGCAGGGAAGGTATTGTGGGGGGTTGTTGCCAATGAAGAAGGTGTGCACCGGGGGTCCCAGAGGGAATGGTCCCTGTCGAAGGCTGGCAGGAAGGGGAGGGGAAATACGTGTCTGGAGGTGGCATCTCGCCAGAGGAGATGGAAATGCCTGCCAATGATCCTATGGATGTGGATATTGGTGGTATGCCAGGTGAGGACAAGGGGGATCCTATAGCAGTTGTAGGAGGGAAGAGAGGGAATGAGGGCTGAAGTGCAGGAGATGGCCACAGGGCCCCCAGTTGGATCCAACTCAACTCCTGCACTTCAGCCCACACACCCCTTCTTCCCTCCCACAACAGCCCCTTGTCCTCACCTACATTCCACCAACATCCACATCCACAGGATCATTAGCTGCTATTTCCTGAACCTCCAATGAGATGCCACCGCCACACACATATTTCCCTCCCCTTTTTGTCAGCCTTCCTCAGGAACTGTTCCCTCTGGGACACCCTGGTTCATTATTCCTTCACTCCCAATACACTCCCACAGCCCCACAGCATTTTACCCTGCAATCACAGAAGGTGTAGCACCTGCCCGTTCACCTGCTCTCTCCTCACCATCCCAGGTCCCAAACACTCCTTCCAGGTGAAACAGCACCCAATTGGGAAACCCACTGGGTGACCGCTTTGCAGAACACCTATGTTCTGTGTGAAAAAAATGACCCTGAGCTTATTGTTGCCTGCCATTTCAATACACTGCCTTGTTCCCTGGCCAAAATCTCTGTTTCAGGCTTGCTGCAGTGCTCCAGTGAAGCTTAATGCAAGCTGGAAGAACAGCACCTCATTTTCTGCTTGGGAACTCTACAGCCTGCTGGCTGAGTTCAACAATTTTAGGGCATGAACACCTTTTCCCATGTCTTTACCCCAACCTCCTCACACCAGGCCTTGTCATCACATGGGCTACTACCACAAACAATCCATTGTCAGCACTAATAGTCCCCATTTGCAACTATCTAACCTCCCAGACTGACCTTTATTCAATCCTTTGCCTGTCCAACAGTTTTTCTCTCTCTTTGGGTTCTTCCTCTAGTTATCGTTTACTCCTCCCCCCTCCACCAACTCCATACTCTACACAAATACCAACATTTTCCTCGCTTCTATCAGTTCAGAAGAAGGGTCACTGGATCCAAAAGGTTAACTCTATTTCCTCTCCACAGATGCTGCCAGACTAGCTGAGCTTTTTCTAGCAATTTCTGTTTTTGTTTCTGATTTCCAGCATCTGCAGTTCTTTCAGTTTTTTTGTTTAGTGTTTACCAATTCTTTAGGTCTGGGGCATTAAATGAAATTACAAAATATACATTTTTGAACTTCAATAAAAAATAAGCTTTCAATGGCACACATCTGTTCCCGATTACACTAAACACATATCTATAAATTACTGATGAATTAATTATCTATAGAGCCAAATCATAGTTTGCTGAACACTGAAGGGAGATAATAGGAGAAATTGCTTTCAAAAGTTGGCTGATGCTATGCAATGGAAGACTACACTGATTGACATTTTAATCATCCTATAACTTGTGCCCTGCTCTCAGTAGTTTACTTCGGTTTTAGGTTCTGTAATTACCCAAGTGTTAAGTTATGGGATGATGTGTCAGTCATAAGAAGCTATAATCATGCACAGAGTTGACTAGAGAAAGGCCGAAACTAATAAAGTTTTGCCGAAATAGAAAAACAAGCAATATCCCACTGTCTGAATGGTGCATTCATAGAATGTTACAAGGATAACTATGTAAATCAGAGATCATGACTTCCTACATGGTAAACGTGAATCTGTCCTCTGCATAAAAGAGAATCTATAAAGTTGACCTACCAATTATTATTGATTGCAGATCACATTCCCAAAATGTTAATAGGTATAGCAACTCAATGACATTTTTATTTGCTTTTATGGAAAAGGCAAGACAACTTAATGGTGGTAGTTGATCTACATCTGTCAGTCTAGTAAGCAGAATAAATTTGTTGGATATCCAGTCCAAAAAAAAAACTTAACTAAGAAGGCAGCAGCAATTTGTTTTAACATGGCTCCAAGAATATTCAAACATGGAACCTTCAAAGTAAACTTTCATAGGATGGACAATAATCCTTTGCTATAAGACTGACATCTCAAGAGAACTAGGAAGGGCAAAAACTGGATTCTTACCAGAGACAGATACATCTGTAAAAGTCAAATGTTAAATCTTCCACATTAGCAGAATTGTTGTTTTATTCTCATCTTCTTTTCAAATCACAATCTCAATTTGATCAAAGAACTGTGAAATGATTCTGTGCTAATGTCAGTCGCATTCATTGATCCCACATCTTAGGTCACATTACTATGGCTAGCAATTTGAGTTGCCCCTATTTAAACATGTTATTGAGTATAATGTCATCTAAAATAGATAGCAGCATCCAGCAGCTCTAACTTCAAATAGGCTGATCAGCCAATCAGATTTAAAAATTCTGACAGACAGCAAACCCGGAAGGGAAAAGCATGGATTATAATAATTCACTTTTCAATTATTTTACAGAAAAATTGCAGGTCGGGGCATACACACAGAATTACAACAATGCAAGAATATAAAACAAACAAGAATTAAATTACTTCTTGAGTGAGACCACTAATTTTAGAATTCTACTTTTTAAGACATGGGGAGGCTATTCAACAGCAATTATGATTTAGTACATTCTTAAAAACAAAGTTGCATCTCATTCAAGAAGGGTTAACATTTTCAATATTTTTACACCAAGAATAGTGCACAGAAAATTGAAGTTTATGCCAATTCATTGGTTGCATCTGGGAGGAATGCAAAATGCATTCTGCAGACTTTCATGCTTAGACATGCACATGCAGAAGTCAGGACTTGGGTCAAGTTTACACAGTAATGACAATATGCTTAAACGATTCTGCCAACATTACAAGCACATATTTCTGAAAGTGGTTATATGGTTTTGGAAATATGCAATTTAATTCATAATTGGTTCCATAACTTTTTTTTTGTTGAAGGGGCAAGGGAATGGTCAGAGAGAAATTCAAAGTCAAAAGTACCTTTTCACAGGTTCTGTTTGAACAAGGGCCGCTTCTATCATAGCCTTCATCCAGGATTCCATTTCCTTGGCTGTTTCAGTATAGAAATAATAGGTCCGCATATTTGGATGAGAAGCCTGATCAGAAATTACAGTGATTACTAAGTTAAATGACTCCTGTCAAAAAAAGAGAGAAGCAAATCAATGTATAGTTAGGATAAAATCACTATTACCTGAAACAAATCCAAGTAGAAGTCATAAATTTCCAACTCTACTGAACATATACCAGCATAATTACGATAATTTTTACATTAAGTCAAGCAACATAGTAGAAATGGTCATTCTATGCTATGTTAAAATCATCTTCAGTTGCTGAGGTTTCAAAGAAATTGTCACAAATTCTTCATACCTTCCTCTCTTAGTTCCTCATTCCACTGCATGATTATATTGTATTATACTTCTTTGGTTTCTATCTTTGTCTGATTCGTTTGCACTCTTTCTCCATCAGATTTCCTGCATTTCTGTATTACACAAAGCCTTTGAATGCTACTCACACCAATTGCTACCAATGTACTCAGGTCTTCCTGCCTTACATTGGTTGGCCCTGTTCTGAATTGCTTACCATAAGATGCGTCTTTTATCAGTTATTCTAATATACAAACTTAAAACAAAATTAAACAAGTGTATTGTCATCTTGGTTTGAAATAAAACATACTGAACTTGAAACATTAACTCATGTTTCCCTTTCCACTGATGCTGCCAAACTTGCTGATTTTCTCAAGCAAGTTTTATTTTAGATTTCCAACATCCATGGTATTTTGCTTTTATTTAGGAGAGTTGGGATGTTAGAAATAATTTATCACACCAGAAATTCTTTTCTTTAATATGAGAAGTTGCTTATTTAGCTTACAAACATTTTTCTATTTTTTTGACTACAACTTGCACTAAGATGAAACTTGCTTTGCCTTCCTAGACACAAAGTTCTAGGTGCAATGATAATGAATAGATACACTTGGAAGGGGTATGAAATTTGTTCATCAAGTGACTCGATGCTTATGTTTCTTTCATTGTCTAATTGTACTTGATTGTTTACCAGCCTTTTGATTCGGGATGTACTCAGCAGGTTTTTCACCAAAACAATTCTGACCGCATCTAGGGCAATGTAAGAATTTTCTGGTGGAAGAAAAGACATTCATCTTAGAAACACTCAGATCAGGAGATCTGAAAAAAATTCAATGGTCACCTGCTTTCATCAGAAAAAGATATCTAAATTTTTAAAGGCTGCTTAAATCTTTGTCGCTTTCGAAGTATTCATACCCAGACTTTCCACTTCTGTTTTCTTTTGTAGCATACCAATTCTCTAAAATAATTTGAATTGAATATTTAATGTGAAGAATAATTGTCTGATAGCATGGTGTTTTTATGCCTGTCACTGAAGAGTGTACAGTGTGTATCCTCTGCAAATCCTAGTTTGAATGCTGTCACCAAAATGGCTAATTGTTGCAACATGCCAGTTCCCCTTCAAGTACAAGTGCACATTTGCAATCAGAGAAGGCAATCGACTGTATATGAAACTGTAGTTTGTTGTGAAAAATATAGTTGGGAGAGAGCGGAATTACAATATTGACTACTAATTGAGTTTTTTTTGTTAGGTGTTTCTTTTTTTTTTAAAATAGATGTTGGATTATGATAATTTTCTTTTTATGAGACGTGTGTCAATCAGCATATTTTGGACACCGTCAATTCAAGCCACATGCAAAACCTAGGCAACTGTAATCGAAATGTTGCGCATCAGGGCTCTTATCGTTCAGTGGCTGTGTCCTGATCTCTGAGGCTGAAGACCTGGGAGCAAATCCAACCTACTTCACAAGTGTGCAGTAACAGCTCTGAACAATTTGATTAGAAAATTTCTAAATGCTGAACATACTTACTTGGCTGTTTTAAGTAAATTCCCAACAGCTGGGCAACATCCAAAGGTCATCAGTCGCTCAAAAGAACAAGGCAGGTCAAAAATAAAGATATATTAATAGATGTCACAATGATATTCAGAGACACAACAATGATTTTGGCAACCACAACAGTTTGTTCATGGTTAAATTGAATAATTAAAGGATAGAATTTAACAATTTATCTTCATATCAAAGTTGCAATGTTATTACTTTTATACCATGTCAAAAACAATACTGAAATTCAAAGGGAAACAATTTTAAAACTTTCTTTTCCCACCGACGGACAGACAAGGTTCTGAATCTGGGATTATGTTAAAACATAAAACATAACAAATCGACAAGATGAGAATTTTAAATTTATATTCAGTGTTTGTCCATTACATGACACATTAACAGTAGAACAGGTTAAAATACAGCTTTCTTGTTTATTATAGAACATTCAGTATTTAAAAGAAAGTTATTGAAAAAGGTAGGTTTAAAAAAGCATTGCTCACTAGTGTAAAATGAGTTAGATATTTGCTACTGAAATAAATTCTAATGCTTTTGTTATATAGGTCACCCCAGCTTTAAGCTCTAGAAAACAATAATACAGAAAGGACCATGTTTATGTGATATAAACACTGACCTTGAATGCATATTTGCGGTTTATATGATCCTCAGGGCTAACTGGAGCTATCTTAAAACTAGGTAGAAGAATGCTTCCTAGAATGCCTTCTTCCTTTTCATCTGTCAGAAAAGAAGCAAAATCAAATCCCTTTTATTCCTCAGCTTGCATTCATAAAGCATCTATTACTTACAAATAAATCCCAAAGTGATTCACAGAGGTGCTGCTGGACAGAAATGGATGCCAAACAATTGGAGAATATGTTAGATGGTGTAAATCAAAGCTTTGTTGAAGAGTAGGCTGCAAAAAGAATCTTAAAAGGTGAGCACGATGAAGCAGCAGGTTAAAGTATTTTCAGGTTTTCACTCCTTGGAATATAAAGGGGTGGAAATTATACTTCAGTTGCAGAGTGTTGTGAGCAAATCTTATCGAGAACATTCAGTTCTGGGCACTCAAAGCACTGGAATGATACACTTGTTAAGGAACTTCAGCACTCCTCCAAAGGAATACCAGATGTTAAATGAGGTGAACAAGCATGTAAACTTGGACTGCATTCCCTTGGGATCAAAAGATTAAGAAGTGGTCTAATTGAAGACTTTACAACAATAAAAGGTATCTGATTGAGTAGGTACAGTTATTTCTTCTGCTGGAGTAACATGGGCAAGGCAGCACAATAAGAAAATTAGAATTTCACCATTTATGTAAGGAACAAGAACTTTTTTCACAAAACAGGTAGTGAAAATGTGGTTATCTCACCCTCCCAAAATGATGGTTTATTGAAAACTTCAAGAAGATATCGAGAGACAAGGCATATGAAGGAGTTGAAATATTGAATGGTGAAACAGGCCTGAGGGTTAACTATATTACATTTTCTAGAGTTTCAAAGAATCAGAGGTGATCTCATTGAAACTTACGAAGTACATTCAGGGACAGACAGGGTAAATGCAGGTTAAGATGTTCCCCCATTTGGGGAATCGAGAATTGAGGGTAAAATTTAAAAAATAAAAGGGATGCTTTTAGGTCTGAGATGAAGATGGGGGTCAGTAAAAAACATTGAAATGTTTGATCAGTCATGATTGTGTTGAAGGGCAGGGCAGGCTAAATGGGATGAAAGACCTACTCCTGTTTCTATGTTCCCTCCCTCTTCATGTGTTGATATAACCAAATGCTATATTACCACATCCAAATCTATTTTCACAACCGTTTACTGCAGTTTTTTTTTCAATTCGTTCATGAGATGCAGGCATTGGTGGGTAAGCCAGCATTTACTACCTTACATTACTTGTCCAGAGACAGTTTAGAATCAATCTCATTACTGTGGGGCTGGAGTCACATGTAAGCCAGACTAGGTAAGGACAAAGTTCCTTCCCTTAAGAACATTAGTAATCTAGATGGGCTTTTATGACAATTGACAGTGGTTACATGGTCACCATTAGGCTGACTTTTGAATTCAAATTTTTAAAAATTTAACTCAAATTTCACTATCTGCCATGGTGGGATTTGGATTCACGTCCCCAGGACGTTAACCTGGGGTTCTGGATTTCTAGTCCACCGACATTACCATCATAACACCACCTCCCAATTTCGTCTTATTAATTTTATTCTGTTCTATAGTTCACTTCTCACAGTTAAAACGTGAACTTATTTTGTCTTTTACAATTTATCGATAAAATCCTAGTTGCAAAAAACAATTTTTGTCAAACAAGTTGCCACATTCAACATAATAAACAAAAGCAGTATATATAAATATGATACACACTTACTGTTTTCGACAAAGTAATTTAACTCAATTTGTAAAATAAATTCTCAGTGCATGGCTTCTTTAACTATTATTTTAATCAAAAATCTAGTCAAAAGGAGCTGCAGGCTGTTTCAAATACCAGCAAAGAAACTGACAATAATAGTGAGCATTTATGATTCACAGAGAATAGTTTATACTAAAATAAAATTGCGATTAATGCAAATTTGTAGGCAGAAAACTTGTTAAAGAAGCACCTTGGAATTTTTTTCTCACGAAACAGATCTACAAAGAAGGTGTGCATTGCAACCTAGTGAAACATTCAGAAGGCAAATACTCTCAGGATATGTTCAATTACAAAACACATTTACAGCTGACACTTAACAGATAGACAGTTGTCCAAATAAACATGTGAGCATATTGTTGTCCCAATATGGCAGTTTAAGAGATATTCAATTTCCGGATCAATGCTGATGTGCAAAACCAGTCACACAGCTGATCTAATACGTAGAGGTCATTCAGCTAAAAATGAATTATGCAGCCTAAATTCACTTATCAGTTTTTGGTGCACAGTCTCGAAGATACTTGAAAATGTGTATCTAATATTTTACGTCATGCTAACATAACATATCTTTATGTATTTATAATCCATGTTTCAGCTAATAAAGGGAAAAAAAAATGTTTCTGCTGATAGGCCAACTTACTTGCCCTATTATCTTCAGGGTACTTATTGAACAGATGGAGAGATGAAGCCCAGGAGAAATTTAAAGATCAGAATGGTTTGAAACATTCAAAGAGAATATATTAAAAGCAAAATACTGCAGATGCTGTAAATCTGAAACAAACAGAAAATGCTGGAGAAACTCACGAGGTCTGGCAGTGTCTGTGGTGAGAGAAACAGAGTTAACATTTTGAATCTGATGAGTCTTTTTCAGAACTCCTTATCCTTAACATATCTGTAACAACTTTTATGGCCATTTAGGAGATGTGCGTGGGGCAAAATCCTGATTGAAGGTTTTAAGGCAGGGTGAGTTGAATGAATATATAATAGGAGTTCTTTGAGCAACAAGGACATCACAAAATCTAAATCTGAAACTCCCTAGAATCCCACAATTACTGTACTGTCTCCTACTAATTAATATGTACAGAAAATCTTTGGTAATATATTCAGAGGACTGAAACCTGGGAAATCTGACTTTAAGAAAAGAGAATGAAATACCAACAAATGGTACATTAATGATGGCAATAGCTTTGGAGGAATTTTATATAATATATAGACAAGGGAATTAAGGATTAGGGAGGTCAGGCAGTAAAGTTTGGTCACTCTATTATCGAATCGTGGGGTAGGCTTGATGGGTCAAATGGCCTACTCCTGCTCCGATTTCTTATGATTTTATAACAACTTGTTTTGAAGGACTCACTTCCATTATAATAGGAATGACTGGCTTTATTTTCTGAGGAGGGATCATGGTAGTGCCAAGTGTCACATAATCCAAACCATGAGACAGCTCCTACATTTGCATTTTGGAAGACCTACAAAGAGCTAATTGGCTAATTCTACTACTATTCCAAAGTTGCAAATAGTTTATACAGCTCCAAATTTTATCCTGCTGAACAGATATTTGAAAGCTGGTAGAACACCAGCTGGTAGTCATTGGTTTTACTGCATGATCAAAGATGGCCTGTTTTTGTGCGCATTGAGTCAACTGTTGGGTGTTCTAGCACGTTGTAGAATCGAAATACAGGCCTCCAACACATGTAATGCTTATATATGCATCACATAAAATTCTGAAAATGAATGGACTAAAATTGTTATTTCAATACTTTGCATAAATACTGCATTTCTGAAGAGAGCCTTTTTCTTTGGAGTTTTAAGTTATTTTCCTTTCGCCAGGTCCCTGGCGCTGTGAGGCAGCAGTGCTAACCACTGAGCCACCGTGTTTTCTATAGGACAACAATATGCTTCTTTGCAGTACCATAATACTGAAATATATTCCAGCCATCTAGTGTTAACAAGGCTTTAAATTAACAAGATCAATAAATGTTTGGAGAACTTATCATCAGAAATGGACAGTGAAGTAATGACTCAATTAATCTAAAAGGCACTAAACTAAAATACAATAAAATTATGTTTCATTGTGCATTTTCTTCTACCATCGATCGGTAGAGACACTAAACATATTAATCCTCAGTATCATGCACGTTAATGAGCCATTTGCCCTTCTCAAAATAAGTTATTACTACAAATGAATGAGTATTGAAAGAAATTTTATAGTTATAGTACACTCCAAATGTATGAGAATATCAATATAGGGAGTGGAATGTTCTTAGCTGGCACTGTGAATATTTTGCTTCATTCATTCATATGACATGGTTGTCACTGGCTTGGCCAGCATCTATTGCCTTTTGCAAACTGCTGTTGAGAATCCTTATCAAAGGTAGTAGGATATTAGCAGATTGTACAGTGAATTCCATGTAAATGAAAATTTTTCCACTTCCCACATCATCTACTTTTTGAACATAAAATGTGCTAGAGAAACTCTAACAGGTCTGGCAGCACCTGGCAGAAACAGAGTTAACGTTGAGTCCAGCATGACTTTTCTTCCGAATCATTTTGTTCAAGGCTGAGATGGACAGAATTTTAATCAGTAGGACAATAATGGTTATGGGGAAAGGGCAGGAAAGTGGAGATCACTGAATGGGCTGAATGGCCTACTTCTGCTCTTATGGTCTTAACTTTTATGTTAGATCTTAAGCCTGACTTTGAATCCTGGTTCTTTGGATGCCAATGTTTGCATATATGCAATATCTTTCTTATCCAGCGAGTATACAAAAATGCTTCAATGTCAGTGGAATATGTCTGAAGAGAAGTCACAAAATTTAAACAAAACAGGACAGCTTTTTACCCATCAAAATCCTCGATTTTACATCTTACCGAGATGTAATAGTGTTATTAATACAGAGTTCCAATTGTTGTGCACTGAAGTAATTGACTTAGGTCATTTTATTATGTAATCCATAGTTGAGTTTGAGCTCAAACATTTGACTCAGGTTCAAGCAGATAGTCAAGTTATGCTTTAAATGAGCAAACTAGTAGCATAAATTGATTTTAGACTTAACTAATTGCAATGTAGAGTAGGAAGTCCAAGGCTGTATTAGCAGTTCATTGGTTAAGAGTCCATTCCATCACTACACAGTTAGCACTACTGAGGAAGGAAGTTCCCGAAGACCAGGGAGTCCAGAATCAGAGGTCACTGTATTCTATGGATGTGGGTTAGGCCACTTAGGTCTGAGATGAAGAAGAAATTTCTTCACTCTGAGAGTCTGTGGAATTCCCTGCCACAAGAAGCGAGTTAGGCCAAAACACTGAATATTTTCAAGGAGGAGTTAGATATTGTTCTTTGGACTAAAGGGATCAAAGACTATAGGGAGAAAGCAGGAATAAGATACTGAGCTGGATGATCAGCCATGATCATATTGAATGACAGAGCAGGCTTGAAGGGCCTAATGCCTTACTCATGATCCTACCTTCTATGTTTCAATTACATAACTGCTAAGAGTGAAGGGAAAGTAATTGTTTTAATGATGCCCTCTGTACAGGCATATTAGATGCAATAGGTCATAATTAACTCAGTTTTATTAGTGGCCAGGAGACCTGAATTCGCGGTGAACATTAGGTTTTTGAGAAAGTGATTACTTTTCCGTTTTTGTTAACTATCTGAACAACAGCAGAGCAACTGACAATCAAGTGTAAAAATTCATGTCCTTGCTTTCCTTACACACCAAAAAGAAATTGTTGCAGGATTGGTGTGTTGCTGGGTTACTGTTCATAATACAGATACATGGCTAAAAGATTTTCTATGTGTAAACACACATAAACATTCTAAATTAAACTAATATCAGCAATGGTTACAAAACTGAAGCAATATTTACAGAGTCAATTTTGCATAAAATTGCAGATCTTCTCATTTAATATTCAAGTCAAACTATCAGGTTTTATGTAAGATGACTTTACAAATGATCTGCATCACCGCAGGTTAATTTATTTCACAGCCATCTTACCTCTATAATAGAACAGGCACAGATCAGCAAGCACAAACCAGCGCTTCTTCCAGAGTTTCATTCCTGTACTGTCCTACAAAACAATTATAAATATCATATCAGGCATCTTCAATAGTTTAACTATTTGTACCTTTGCTAATGCAAAACGTAAGTAACACTCATTAAGAGCAGCTATCATCCAGTTTGGTGGAAAACTCCAGCCCCAGATCAATGTCAGATATAAAATCAGAGTCATCCTGTTAACCTCTCCCCAAAACAGCTCCAAATTGATGAAAGTTCAAAATAGAATGCCATTACTTATGTCAAAATACAGTTGGCTATTTACTCTATCAGGCCACCAGTCCCTTTCTGCAACTAAGTATTTTTAAGCAATTTATACTACATTGCTGTGCAGCAGTTTTAAAAATATTAATCAGGCCAGTAGAAATGTCTCAAAAAACTCAGACAAATTATCTTTCGGTGCAACTATTTATGGTTCTGTGAAATTTGAGATATAATTAACAATTGTGGCTGATTGTATATCCAGAAATGAGTGACAGCTTTTGAGGAGATCTTTATTCAGTTAGGTGAAGAATGACAATGAACAATGACTTTACAAGCTTCACAATAACAGTTTATAGAACATAAAACATAGAACATAGAACAGTACAGCACTGTACAGGCCCTTCGGCCCATGATGTTGTGCCGAACTTTTACCCTAAACCTAAGGTCTATCCAACCTCCACCCCTACCTCATATGGGAGTACAAATTGGAAATAATACTGGATAGATTACTGAAATAGTAGTGTCCAGCTGCAGCAAAACCCTAAGCAATGACTTAGGTTGTACAATGACAGAGATAGAGTTTTCTTCTGAGGACGTAATATGGAACCAAATGGATGATTCTGCATGATAACCAATTTTCATCGTAATACTACAGTTTGTACATCTTGGCTTTGAGGATGCAGAAAATGGTAGTACTTGTGCTGTAAAAGAGAAATATTCAAGACTCCAAATGGATTAAACAAATAGGAACCTAATACAGGTTTTGTACAATCATAAAGATTAGAAGGTCATATTGTCTCAAATTCAGAAAAATGAATTTTAACATTTTAAAATGTAATATTTTAAATACAGTGCGGCAAGTAGTACTTCAGCTAGCAAGAAATAAATTAAGATTGTTTTTGTAAACAGTTCAGATGGATGTAAATTTAGAAGCACTACTCAGGATATGAAGTGAAGTGCTTTATATTTTCCATATTTCAGGACTCACTTGTCTGGTGATAATGGCTTTTCTATAGCTTTGTACAATTGTGACTCCGAGACATGTCTTCGTTGTGGTTAGAAAGCAACTGAGGGAGACAGACATCCAGCCAACCCAGGAGTGATCTATTAGATGATTAGGTCTCATACATTTTAACAGGTGACTGCTGATTTTGAATGTCAATGGCCTGTTAGAATTGTTTGAAGCTAAATGAACCAGGAAGTGTAATGCGGGATTGCTAAGGGTTGGGAGAGCTTGAAATCCTATCATTTTTATACTATTATATTTAAATAAAAAGTAACACAGACTTGTCTCAAAACATCTGTTTTCTCTGAATTTCATCTGTCCCTGGATTTTCAGGTCAAATCTATCCTATCTAACAACAAGCTGTCCTCATGAAAAATGTCTGATTGGTCTGCTTCCTAGATTAGTTCAACAAGATGTAGATGCATTTATAAATCTAAAATACCATGGCTGAAACATATAGGACAAAATGGATAGTTTCTACTCTTATGTATCAGCATATTTTTGATGTTTGACTATCAACCATTCTCCAAACATGTGGAGAAACAAACTGATTTGTTTCATGTGATCTGTAATTAGGTTCCTCCCCAAGAACACAAAACCCAATGAAATTAGTACCTGTTTATAAAGCCAGCCACGTTTTATAACTGGTGCATTTGCATTCCTCTTAATAGAGTTGGATCTTTTGCCAAAATTGTGAATTTTCTTTGAAGGTCTTGATGACTGAAATAAATTTAGAAGACACATACTAAATCAGTTAAATATAATTTTAAATGTTCTAACAGATCAATTTTCAATTATACTGTAGGAAGTAAGAAAATTTAAAACACCAGAGAATGGCTAGTTGTTCAAAAAGTGCACCTGGAGCTAAATATTCTTTACATAGTAAGGTAGAATGGCATATCTGAATACTTCACTAGCAGTGTTGCAATCTGGCAAGAACCAGCAAAGGATTCTACACATTGTGAGAAATCAGGACATTTTTGTTCAATCAGATACATTTGTGGAGAGATTTCAATTTTTTAAAAAGAAGATTATATTGAAACAAAAAGATTTCATCAAATTATTTTGTAAACATTTGTTCAAATTGAAAAGCTATTTAGAAATATTGCTGCACCTTCCCTCTGCATTTCCATGTCACAGCTGAAGCCTTTCCTACAAATTCAACTTCTACTTGATTGTTTTCCACTTCATGTTCTACTCACTTTATAAATTGACATTTTTACGAAAAACTGTGTTAAATTACATTATTACTGAAATGCCACCTAGCCCTTAGTACTCTATTTTATCATTCCAAGGGAGTCTTGGCACAGGACTGCTGAAACAGTATTTGGAACACATATAAAGCCAAATCAAGTCTTTGCAAAGTCATAAAAGAAAGGGGCATATTGTCCGTGCAATTCTGACTTTCTGATCAATAAATTCACCTGCTCTCATTGTATTTAGGCAGATGGATTATCATTAGAAAAGGGCACATCTCTAAGTTAAAACAGCAAATCTCTGGAATGCTAAGTCAATGCAAAATAAATTAAAACAAGGGCAGAAGTCATGAAATGGATTAAAATGTAAAAATTTAAGAATATGGTCGTGCAAATGAGGGAATACTAATTATTGAGCAGCCAAATGTTGAACTCAGCATCTAGACCCTGTACAAAAACTACATCAAAATACACTTAAAAACAATATGAACTCCAAAGGAATGACTGAGTTACCATTGCATCATCTGCTTCACCACTTTATTCTTTACCTTAATCAGGATTAGGAAGGTATAATGCAAGGTTTGGACTACTGATGCTATTATAGACGTGACAGCACAATATGTCCTGCCTCCAGATTGATAATCCCCCTGACTTTCTCTCTAGAGTCCCATGAAATCATAAATCTCAATATCAGTCTAAGCACACATCAATGTCATCAATCTAACAAGATTTTCACGCCATATTCATGTTTCTAAAATTATTCAAACACCATATATACACTAATTCTCCTTTATCATTTCAGATTCTGTTTACATTGATAGATCAACTTACTATGATCGCACTTGCAGCTGACCACATGACGACTGCTGTGCCATCGACCACGTGACGAACGTCGACCAAGTCATTACCTCTGCTCCCACCCGCATGACCACTCAAGTACACACACCTACTCCAGTTGCAGTCGCCACCCGCTCCTAACTCCAGGTCAACACTTAGCCCCAGCCCCAGCCCCAGCCCCAGCCCCAAGCCATGACAGGTATTCACCACCCCCAGACCTCCCCCTCACTAAGGCTGAACGGTCAGTCCTCAGCAAAAGACTCGCCTTAATTCCCCTGCACCCTCTGCCTCCACGCCTATTTCTTTGAATACAAATTCACCCCACCCTCTGACAACCCCTCATCCTGCCTCCAGTAAATTCCATCCTTCTGGACACCCCCTCCCGGCCTCCTGCCTTTCCTCGACCCTTTCGCGACATCAATTGCCTGAATCTCTCCACCCCTCTCACTTACTCCAACCTCTCTCCATTGGAACACACAACCCTCTGCTCCCTTCACTCCAACCCCACCCTCACCATTAAACCTGCCAAAAAGGGGGGCACAGTGGTAGTATGGCGAACTGACCTCTACATTGCTGAAGCCAGATGCCAACTCTCCCCAACTGTCCGCTCGATCCCGACCCCATCTCTGATCACCGAGACCATCAACAAACTTCATCACCTCAGGAGACCTCCTGTCCACAGCCTCCAACCTGATAGAAACAGACAGTGCGGGGTTGGGGAACTGTCTCCTACCCAAGAACCATGAACCCAACTGCCCCAATTGACCCATCGTCTCTGCCTGCTCCGGCCCCACGGAGCTTATCTCCTCCTACCTTGACTCCGTTCTTTCCCCTTTCGTCCAGGAACTCCCCATCTACCTTCGGGACACAACCCATGCTCTCCACCTTTTCCAAAATTTTCAGTTCCCCGGCCCCCAACACCTCATCTTCACCATGGACGTTCAGTCTCTATACATCTGCATTCTCCACAAGGATGGCCTAAAAGCCCCCTGCTTCTTTTTCTCCCATAGGCCCACGCAGTCCCCTTCCACCGACACTCATTCGCTTGGTGGAACTGGACATTACCCTCAACAATATTTTCCTATGATTCCTCCTGCTTCCTACAAACCAAAGGGGTGGCAATGGGCACCACATGGGTTCAAGCTATGCCTGCCTCATTGTAGGATTCATTGAACAATCCCTCTTCACTGGCACTGGCACCATCCCCCACCTCTTTCTCTGCCATATTGATGATGGTATCGGTGCTGCTTCATGCTCCCGCGAGGACCTCAAACAGTTCATCAACTTTGCCAACACCTTCCACCGTGTTCTCAAATTCAGCTGGACCATTTCTGACACATACACCCCCATTTCTGGACCTCTCTGTCTCCATCTCCTTTAACCGACTCACCACTGACATTCATTTCAAACCCACTGACTCCCACTATTACACTGACTATAGCTCTTCTCACCCACCTTCCTGCAAAAATTGTATCCCATACTCACAATTCCTCCACCTCCACTGCATCTGCTCTGAGGATGAGGCATTGTACTCTATGACTTCCCAGATATCCTCCTACTTTAGAGACCGTAGTTTCCCCTCCTCTGTTATCAAGGATGGCCTCAACCGCATCACCCCCATTTCCTGCACTTCTGCCATCAAACCCTCTCTCCTCAACAACAATAACGATAGAGTCGCCTTAGTCCTCACACATCACGCCACCAACCTCCAAATACATCGCATCATCCTCCAACATTTCCGCGACCTACAATCAGCAAATAGGTATTTCCTTCCCCATCCCTGTCCACTTTCTGCATGGATTGTTCACCCTGCAACTCCCTTGTCAGCTCCACACTTCCCGTCAACTCCTCCACCACACTCGATACCTTTCCTTGCAACTGGAGGTGCTACACCTGCCTCTTCACCACCCCTCCCACTTCCGTCCAAGGCCCCAAACAATCCTTCCAAATCCAGCAGAGATTCAACTGCACTTCATCTACTGAATCTGTTGCTCCCGATGTGGTCTCCTCTATACTGGGGAGACCAAACGCAGACTTGGGGACTAGTTTGTGCAGCATCTGCGCTCTGCATACACCAACCAACCCGACCTTCCAGTTGCCATCCACTTTAACTCCCCTGGTGACATGTCCATCTTTGGCCTCCTCCACTGTCAGAATGAGGCCAAATGTAAACTGGAGGAACAACACCTGATATTTTGCCTTGGGAGCTTACAGCCCCAGTGGCCTAAATATTGACTTCACCAACTTCAAAACCTCTACTCCCGCAACTGTCCATCTTCCGACTCAGCTATCAGCTACACCCTTCCCTCTGACCTACCACAATAACCGACCTATACCCTACTTGCATCCACCTATCTCCAGCTCACCTAGCTTCTCCCCAGCCCCATCCCCCTCCCTTTATTTATTTCTGGGCTCTGCCCATCCCAGCCCTAACAAAGGGTTTCAGCCCGAAACATTGACTTTCCTGCTCCTCGGATGCTGTCTGACCTGCTGTGCTTTTCCAGCTCCAAATTTATTGATTCTAGCTTTCAGCATCTGCAGTCCTTGCAGTCTCCTGCTCTGATTGCGCATTAGAATAGCATTTGTTCGGCCAATTATACAATGAAACCAGCATAATATAACAGTATAAAAAACATTATGGATAAACTCAGTATATATTTGCGCAAGTCTATATACATGAATGAAGGAGTGTACACTGTGTATGGGAGTGGATTATGTGCAGTGTAGGCTGGAGCAGTTACTGTGTCGAGTCAACATTATACCATGAGTGCAAAAGACGTGCATGAAATATCAGCTAAGATGGGTTCAAGGTGATACACAGGTATAAGAAAAATGTTACACTGAAGGAACATCATAATCATACCCCACGCTCATTGACATGTTCTCTGGTGCGAAGGGTTATACAGGTTGCATTGGACAGTTTCAATCTCTACTTGTACATTGGGTAAAAGGATAAATTTTAAATATAACTTTGAAAAGCACCACAGTGGCAAATAAAAACAAAAATACAGTATTGATTCACTAAAAAAAAACTATAGTCAGGCTTAATAAATGACATCTATGAGTGGGTCCTAAGTGTAGGTTAAGAAAACAAAATCCTTCTCCATCAACGACGCATCACCAATACAGATACTACGTTTGTAGCTTCCACAGAAGTCTGAATAAATATTTATGCATTACTGCATAATTTAACTTTTTGAATAATTTAACATTGTCATAATAGTACTGAGTCCTTTTTAATGAAGTGCCCAAAAATATTAAGATCAACATCATTTTATAGTATATAACATGGACGAATGATTCATGAGAAGTGTCAAATGGTACCGGTGCCAAAATAGAATCTCCTCACAACAGGAAATACAATTGAAAATTACAGATTTAGTTACAAGTCTTTAGGACAAGCTACAGCTTGGAATTTACAAAATACACCACCTTAAATTTTGATGCTACATCAAAATCAAAGTGACCGTCTTTGGATTTAATTTTATGTCGATGAATATCCATACGTAACTCTGATTTTCTGTTGACAAATTGACTTCCTGTCAAACACATTGACATTTAGAAGAAAAGCAGTGTATTTATAATCCAGTTATTTCACTGAATTAAAGGATCAAACTATACCTGACAAAAGCACATCTCTTCTATTAAAGTATATCCCTGATCAAAAAAGTATTGATAATGATGGAC